TGTACCTGTTTATCTTTCTGTGTGTGTGTGTGTGGGGAACTAATGTGTGCAGTAATAAAGAAGATACTACTGCAGTTGAACAGCACACTCTGCTGTTAGCAGTGTGTGGTTCTTGCTGACAATAAAATTGTCCCTTTTGACTGCAAAAAAAACGCTTCAAAATGTAAATTCTGCACAAGTGCATAAACTGCTGCAGGAATTTCCATACGCTGCAAAAGCCAGGATTTAGCTGCAGGATTTAACTGCAAAGACCTGGGAACACATTGTGTGGAAACTTCACAGCACCCTGGAGGATCTTTTGAGGACTTACTGACCCAGACTACTCAGGGCTGGTGGTAATGTTTTATATTATTCTTGGTAACTTTTTATGCACTTCAAACATGTTTTTAGAAAATAAGCTGCCACCTCATAACTGTCCAGGCAGAGCTAGTACTAACCAAAGCCATAGCTCTCCCAGGAGTTGTGGGCTCTAGCAGATCACTTGGAGGAAGAGCTCCAGAGCAGGGATCAACCATTGAAAGCACTTCCCTGTGACCCACATTCTAACTCATTACATTCTTGGTCTACTTCTGTGGGCAAGATTAGCTAGAAGGCCACGGTGGGACACATGAAGGTCCTTCACATGTGCGGCATATCGGCCTTTTAAGAAACCAGGATCATCTCTGTAATCCACTCCAGGAAATAAACTGTGTATTCTGTACCAGTTTAAATATTCCTTTTTTATAGTACCTTGTAGCTCACCCCAAATGGAAGCACATTATGGCGCTCCACCCTCAAGGTTACAGACACATGAATGGTTGCCTGTCCCTGAACCTGAAAGCAAGACTGAAGCTCCCTTGCGGAATGGAGTAGTTGAAAATCTGTTCTGGCAGCTGCTGCAACCAGGTTGCAAACATTGTTTCTTGCCATTCCTCTTCTATTCAGACAATACAAGATTGTGGATTCTCATCAGGTCTTAACCAGAATGTAACCCCCCCCCCCTCCATAATTGATTAATGCCAGTTTGGTGTAGTAGTTAAGTGCATGGACTCTACTCTGGGAGAACCGGGTTTGATTCCCCACTCCTCCACTTGCACCTGCTGGATGACCTTGGGCAAGCTGTAGTTCTGATAGGAGCTGTTCTTGAAAGAGCAGTTTTTGAGAGAGCTCTCTCAGCCCTACCTACCTCACAGGGTGTCTGTTGTGGGGAGGGGAAGGGAAAGGAGTTTGTAAGATGCTCTGAGACTCCTTTGGGTAGTGAAGGGCAGGGTATAAATCCAATCCTTCGTTTTTTTTCATGTGCCACAATGATAGGAAGATATCTTATCTGCAAGTCTGTTTCAGTCTTCACAGTTGTTTTAGTTATCTACTCCTTAATTGTAGGCATCACTGGTATTTTTCTGATGTTGAACCCCCATTGTGTTGGTTGCTGTTGACAGCTGCAAGCTGCTGGTGGGTATCTCTTATCCTAATAATTCAATAAAGATCAAGATCCAGCCTTAAGAGATGGAAAGGCTACCCCATCCATGCCCCACTTCACTGAGGAGAATCCCCATCTCCTGTTCCCCCCCCCACACCAGCCAGCAGTCCCAGGGTCTGATACCACTCCAAGCCTTTTGTAGAGTCAGCTGACTCCTCTGTGGCAAGTCACTGTTGGGGCACAGAGCTTGTACGACCTCATTTGTATGACAAACATGTTTGTCTTGTCTGCATTTAACACCTGATGGTGTTGGATCTCTTTCAGTGGTCTCCTACATGGTCAGGATGCCATACTTGGGTTGACGAAGAATGCCTGGGAGATGGTGGATAAATGAAAGTGCTTTACTATCCTTCAGGCTTTCCTTCTAAGAACATACAACATTATTCAGGTGCTTCTGTGAGAACTTGTTAAGTACTGTATCATCACTCCTACACCCCATAGTTGCTGATTTCAGAGACTTACAAGAAAAAGTTGCAGGATAGATAGGATACCATTTCCTAATTGCCAGTGGAAATAAACTAGGAAAGCTACAATTGCCATCTCTTTGCCGCAGATAGACAGGGATTTAGAATACAGAAGTATCTGTGGTGCCATTAGTCCTTGACAGGTACATCAGGCAACCCAGCCTCCAGTGCTGTGGGGCGACACAAAATATTTAAGTTGGGCGCCACTTAGTGAACGACCAAAGAATCTTGTTGTCCTTCCCTCATGCACCATCATAGATTTTGCCATTTGATTTTGGTGGGATATTTGATAAGCACCCAGCCCAGGTCCTGTTTCGCCTCATAACACACACACACACACAGCTGGTGCTGTCCTTCAGAATTTAAATAATGCTTGATCTCTGATCCTACACTTTTAAACACCAACTGTAATGGGGGAGTGGGGAGAATGAAGACAGATTTGTACCTGGAACCACCCTGATGTGGGAGGAGGTGTTGACGTAGCACTCCGTAAGCACGTAGAAGTGCTGTTCCGAGACATGATTTTATTTATTTATTTAATTAGATTTCTTGACTGCCCTTCCTCGCTTGCGCGGGGCTCAGGGCAATTTACAACAGACTAATTCAATACAATAAAACCCATTAAAACCATCACAATTCAATAATAAAACATTCAGCATTTAAGTATTGGAGAACATTTTAAAAACAAGATGGCATATCTAGCATTCAGTCATGGGAGAGAAAAGGGGGGGGGGGTGCCGGGCAGATGTAAAGAACTGTCGCTGGCCTCAACCAAAGCCCTGGCAGAACGTCTCTGCCTTACAAGCCCTGTGAAACTTTTAATAAGTCAGGCAAGGTGCGGATGTCATTCGGCAGAGAGTTCCACCTAAACTGAGAGGTAACTTGATATGGATGTTGGAGTATTCGTGATCTTAACGTAGTTCATTTTTCTAGGTAGAGTTAAGGTCAGACTACAAAGCTGGCCCTCCAGAAGACCAAATGAATGCTTCAACAGCAAGATCGAAAGCCCCATTTCTCTTGTGGCATACTTATCTCTGGATCTTCGACGTGGTCTCTGTGCTTCATACCCATGAGATCTAGTGCGCACGCGCTGGATCGATCGGCATTGTAGCAAGCTCTTTAGTGGATTTTCGCGCCCAGTCCCTCGGGCATGCCCAGAGGGGTGGGCGCGGACATCCCTCCAGTTCCTTTCTTACCGCCGCGTTGGAAAGACCTCTTTCTTCATTGGTCTGTTCGCGTGTTTTGGCTTTTTGCCTCACGGCTCTTTGGATTTTTTCCTCAGTTCATTCCTTGTCTTCGTTGTTCTTTGAAAACCTTTTTTAGAAAAAGACTTTATTTTCTGCTGAGGGGGAGGTTGCCGCATTACCTCAGTTGGGCCTTCGGGCTACCCCCCCCATCCCTTCTTTCTTCTTCACTTTTATTTTTATGGAGAAGAAGTGGGGCTTTTTTAATAGGTGCAAGGGTTGCAGTAGTAAACTTGCTCCTCCTGACCGTCATACCCTCTGCATTTTTTGTCTCAGAGAGTCTCATTGACCCGAATCCTGTCGCCACTGTGCTCGGTTTTCGAACCAGACCCGAAAAAACCGAGCTGCGCGCCTTAAAGTGGCACTGCTTGAATCGGCCCTACATCCTTCCTCAGCTATGGACGCCGAGAAACCATCGACCTCAACAGCTCCGGCATCGAGGCCTGCCTCCGATATCGGCCAACCGATGCCGAAGCCTCCGGCATCGAAGGCGCAATTCTCCGCTTCCATGCCAGTGAAAAAGAAGTCCAGGCCAAGTAAGGAGCAAAAGTCCGCAAAGAAGAGCTCTTCCAAGCCCCTTAAGACGGCAAAGAAGGGGAAACTAGCGGTGTCTGCACTGGGTGATGCCCCTAAAGTGCCTACCGCTCCAACGGCAGTATCGATACCGGAGGACCAAACCCCTCCACCGATACTGACCATCCATGTCTTGGACTCCCCTGTCCACCAAATGGAGCGTCCTTACTCTGACATCGAAACGGTAGAGCTCCTAACTCATCAAATGGATGCAGAGCCTTCTCCATCTCCTTCCCCGTCATCGACGGTATCGGAAGCTCCCGACATCGATCCATGTCAGCACCGATATGCTTCATGCAACACGCAGTGTCATCCTCCACGTCTGCACAGTCAATCTGTCGATATCAATAACCGAGATTATATGGGCTCCTCTCAAAGACAGGCTGCCGCTTTGTCTCCGAGACGTCCACAGTCTAGAAGTTGATCCCCCCAAGTCTTCTTACCCCCACCACCACCTCTGTCTTGGGATCAGCGGCAGATGAGGTATCTGTAT